GACACAATGGATGTATGTATGGATTGTGATAAGAATTGTACAAGCCCCCAATAAAATGATTTTTTAAAAGTAAGTGAATTATTAAACAGGCAAACTAAAATAGATATGAAATTTTTTTTTCAAAATTGTACTTTGGAGTTTTTATGGAATCTATGACTGAATATATGGCATGACTGAGAATCAGGGAGTTCATTTCAAAACAGAATATTAAAGTCATATACAGAATTCAGAGTTTGTCTGATGTCCTTTTTCTGGCTCCCACCTCAAATCCTTAGGATTTATTCCACTTCCGAGTGGATATCTAAGTTCAATCTTCGCTATAGAGTCCTGGGGTAGTAGTTATGTGCTGGGCTACTAACTGCAAGGTCAGCAGTTCAGAACCGCCAGCTGCTCCACAGGAGAAAGACGGGGGCTTTCTATTCCTTTAAGTCACAGTCTCAGACGCGTCACGGCAATTCTACCCTGTCCTAGAAGTTTGCTATGAGCTGGCATCAACTCAATGGTATATGCTCTAGAGCACTGGAAGCGTGAGAGCAGAGTTATGCTTCAAGGGGTTTCATGGGCTGATTTCATAGAAGTACATAGGCAGGCCTTTCTCCTGAGACACCTCTCTCTGGTAGATTCAAGTCTCCCACATTTCAGTTAAAAAAAATGAGTTTGTTATGTACCACCCAAGGAGGACTGCTACGGATTGATTAGAGATGTTAGACACAAGAAGTGAAAGAGCACAATCTGAGAGTTACATTGTATTTGATCATTATATCACATCTAAGCTCCTATTAGACAAGCTTCAAAACAGGCACAACAATTGAGGAACTGTGATCATTTCCAGGCAGACAGGGGAGATAAAGAGGCACACGTCCTCACGTAAAACGGGCAGCAAGGAGGAACTGATCAGATGGCAAGAAGAAAGGAATATCTACAATGACTCCTTAGTTTGGGGCTCAGGAGACCAGATGGGTGGTCAACTCAATAATCAGGATAGCAAGGCTGGGAAAACAGAAAGAGATTGAGAAAATAAAAATAAGTTCAATATAGACCTGATAAATTCGAGAGACAGAAGACGTGATGTCCAGAAACAGCTAGACATAAAGAATAAACCTTAACTGACTAAGATGTATCCTTTCTGTATTGGTTCTTACCTCCTCGGAGTTCATACTTTTTAACCAGTGATGCTATTACTAAGGATAAAACGGCTATTAAAGAATGAATCTTCTCTATGACCCTGTACATCGTTTAATAGAGGACCCAACAAAAGAGAGAGGAAGGAAGGAGGAATCAGACAGGATCTAAGCATATGCTTTTGCCGTACCATTAATTCTCTTAGACCTACAAAAAATTAAATTAAAACCAAGCACGCACACAGACAACAATGTCATCAGAGGTACGGTTACTTCGACTGAAGTATGGTGAATCCAAAGAACCCTCCTGGAGTATTTAGTCTACTTAACTTACTCTTATAATCTATTTCCTCAATGTATTTTAGCACCAAAGCATCCGCTCTTGTCCCCCTGAGAATGCAACACTGGAAAATGCAATGTCAGGCTTACCTCTCCTTCCTTCTCGAGTCCAAGTTTCTATCCCGATCTTTACTTCTCTTTCGTTTGCGTGGACTCCTACTCCGATCTCTTCTACGTCTTGAACATTCAGCATCCAAATAGCTTCCACCAGACTGCCATGAATCTACTGAAGCTGAGCGCCTGTCTTCCTTCCTAAAGGACAGAAAGTAGCTTTAGCCAGTCGGTTTTATCCGTTGGTTTCTCATATGGGCACAAACACACACACAGACTGTTTAACATTCCTTCTCGGACCAATAAGCCAGCTACTATCAAGGTGACTCTCCCCTGTGTATCAGAGTGGTCCATATGGTTGTCAATAACTCCTATTTGTGGAAGCAGATTGCCAGCCTTTTCTTCTGAGGTGCCTCTAGGGTGAATGCTACCCTCCAACCTTTCTGTTAGCAGCTGAGCACAGTTAACCATTTGTACCACCCAGGGACTCTGTACCAATGACAAGTAGGTCTAATGTGATACACAGTCTTACATCCCGTAGAAAAGGCCAGTCAGTCATGGTGACAGCTTTTCTGTGCTAGCTCACGGAGTCTCTTCCTTATATGGCTGCCTCCCACTTCCCCCCTCAAAAAACTGTCAAAGGGTAATGTCATGAAGCAGCTCTTAGGTAATATTCCTGAGCAAGTACAACAATAAGCAATAGCATTTTGGAAAATCAGTGTTGATGGTCTTAAAAATGCTGATATAAAAAAGGCTGGAAAGAGAGCCTTTTCACGAAGAAAGAAGGTCATACTTCATAGCACCATCCTCTGCTTTTTCCTGCTCGTCTTGCCACTGATTACTGAGTTCTTCCATGTGCACATTGATCACATCCCGGATCACCTAAAGAGAGGTAAGCACAGAATTTCAGATTAAGAAAGTTGTTCTACAACTAGTTTACAAGCTTTTCTTTTTTCTGTCATTCGTTTTGTTATTGTTGTTTTGTTTTCTTTTGTTGCTTTGTTTTGCTCTGTCTTGGTCTTTTGTGCATATTATTATCTCTGCAGGTCTATCTAGATAAGACAGGCAGGATAAACAATCTGGAGGAGAAAACAATGGGACCAACGGTTCCGGGGGGACATGGGAGAGGGGGAGGCCGGGGGAAAGGAAGTGGGTGTTAACAAACTCAGGAACAAGAGAACAAGTGATCCAAAATCGATGGTGAGGAGGTTGTAGGAGGCCTGGTAGGGCTTGACCAAAGGCAATGTAACCGAGAGGAATTACTTAAACCTAAATGAAGGCTGAGCATGACAGTGGGACAAGAGGAAAGTAAAAGGAAACAGAAGAAAAAACTAGGAGGCAAAGGACATTTATAGAGGTATAAAAACAGCCATGTACATATGTAAGTGTATTTATATATGACAATGGGGAAATAGATCTATGTGCATATATTTATAGGTTGAGTATTAAGGTAGCAGATGGACATTGCGCCTTACACAAACATTGAAGACAAATGAGCACATAAGCAAATGTAAAGAAAACTGATGGTGCCCGGTTATCAAAAGATATAGCGTCTGGGGTTTTAAAAAAAGGCCTGAAGATAAACAAGCAGCCATCTAGCTCAGAAGCAACAAAGCCCACATGGAAGAAGCACACCAGCCATTGTGATCATGAGGTGTCAAAGGGATCAGGAATCAGGCATTAAAGAACAAAAAATCAAATCATTGTGAATGTGGGGGAGCGCGGAGTGGAGACCCAAAGCCCATCTGTAGGCAACTGGACATCCCTTACAGAAGGGTTACGGGGAGGAGAGGAGCCAGTCAGGATGCAGTGTAGCGATGATGAAACATACAATTTTCCTCTAGTTCTTTAATGTTTCCTCCCCCCCACCATCATGATCCCCGTTCTACCTTACAAATCTGGTTAAACCAGAGGATGTACACTGGTACAAATAAGAATTAGAAACAGGGAATCCAGGATGGATAAACCCCTCAGGGCCATTATTGAGAGTACCGATCCAGGAGAGTAAGGGGAAGGTGGAGTAGAAAATGATCACAAGGATCTACATATAACCCCTTCCCTAGGGGACGGACAACAGAAAATGGGTGAAAGGAGACATTGGACAGCGGACGACATGACAAAATAATAAAAATTTATGAAATATCAAAGGTTCATGAGGGAGGGAGGTCAGGAAGGGAGGGGGGAAATGAGGAGCTGATACCAAGGGCTCAAGTAGAAAGCACATGTTTTGAGAATGATGATGGCAACAAATGTACAAATGTGCTTGACACAATGGATGGATGTATGGACTGTGATGAGTTGTATGAGCCCCCAATAAAATTATTTTAAAAAGAAAAGAAAAAGCTGTTCTACAAAGTAACAGGAGGGAGCTAGACAAAATGGTTGTTAGCAGGTAGTCAAGAATTTAGTAAAAGTTACAATGCAATAGACTATGGACCATGTGTGCAGTCAAACTGGAGTAAGAATCGTAGATTAAAGAACCATATCAGTGTTAAATTGACTAATGCTGATAACAGCACCATAGTTATATATCTCAGGAAATATATACTAAGTATTTATATTTAAAATAGATAGCTTGACCTTCAATAATTCAGAAAAAATATGTACAGAGAGAAACTGAATGAGAATATATAAGCACACACAAGGCAATATATCAATAAGAGGGGACTTACAGAAAGGGCACCAGGTCTCTTTTTGTATTATATTACTTATGGTTTTGCGCATTTTATCTATAAATTTGAAATAATCTAAAAGTATATTTTTAAACAAAACTAAGCATAATTTTTAAAAATAAAACTAATAATTAAGCCAAAGAGATGACAGACAAAATCTGAAGCACCCCAGTTAATTCATAAGATACATTCCAACTAGTCTACAATCCCTTACCTGTAGCACCCTGAGTCTTTTTTTCTTTCCCACTTTCCCATGCCAGCAACACATGGTTGACCACTAAAATATACATTTATGCTTTCTTAGTGCCTAACCAGTAAATATTTTAAGAATTAAAGAAAGAATGAAAGAAAGGAAAGGAGGACAAAGAAAAAATGATCTCAGAATGTCAGTTTAGGTCTGACTTCATTTCTTCTTTGCTCAAAAAACTTTCTATAACTTCCTAAGTAAAATACCAATAACATGCAAACTCCTTAATGTAATATCCTAAAGCCTCCATAATTCTAACAACTTGTAGTTGATCTCAGCTTTATCTCTCACTATAGCTCATCAGACCTACACTGTTACATACTTTTAGGAATGTCAACCCGCCTGGAAAACTCTTCTGTACTACTTATCCCTTAATTTATTCTCCTGTTGAATACCAAAGACACTTCACAAAGTCCTGTATCAAGGGAGTGGCATAAAGGACAGACAACAGAACTCAAATCCCAGCCCTAGCACGTGTAGACTGTGAGCTCCCTACCTGCATTCTACTGGATACTGTTTCCCCTGAGCTTACCTAGCCAGGGTCTATCACACAAGAAACCATCACTTAACAGGTATGCCTTTACCCAGGCCTGCTTGTCCCTCTGCTTCAAATGCTCTGTTCTCTAGGAAGCCTATACCAATCTCATCTTTGGAATCTCCCTCCTCCCACAGCACTTAAATAGTTCACCTCTTTCACTTAACACCATCTATTTTCTAAGGTCTGTTTCACTTTTGAAACTTAAAAAACTCCTTGAAGAGGGAGGTGGTCCTGTGTGTCATTTACCTTTGCATGCCTCCTTAAAAATGCCAGTTGTCATGGAGCAAATTCTGATTCTTAGTGGCCCCACGTGTTGCAGAGCAAAACTACACCCCATGAGGTTTTCACGGCTGTGGCCTTGAAAGCAGATCACAAGCCCTTTCTTTGGAGGCACCTACCTCTGGGTGGATGCAAGCCCCCAAGCTATTGGCTAACTAGCAACAGGCTTATGATCTGCACCAACCACGACTCCTTTATATGCACTTGATATCAGTACTTACTGGATATTTGTCAAAGTTCTGAGCAAACCAAGAAATACCCAGGACATCTCTGCAACACAAGAGTGGAACTGGAAAAAACCATGGCCACATTGAGTAAATTGGATACACCAGACCTTTTTAAAATGCTGGAAAGCAAGAATGTTACTTTGAGGACTAAAGTGCACCTGACCTAAGCCACAGCATTTTCAGTCACCTCATCTGCATGTGAAAGCTGGACACTGAAAAGGCAGACTGAAGAAGAATGGATGTGTTTGAATTGTGGTGTTGCTAATGAATGAAGCTGAAAGTAAAAGGAACAAACACGTCTGTCTAGGAAGAAGTACGGCTGGAGTGCTCCTTAGAGGAAGGATGGCCAGACTTTGTCTCACATACTTTGGACATGTTGCCAGGAGAGACCAGTTCTGGAGAAGGGCATCATGCTTGGTAAAGTAACGAGGTAGTAAAAAGGCGAAGACCTTCAACAAGATGGACTGACACAGTGGCTGTATTAATGGGCTCAAACATAAAGACAATTGTGAGGATGGCTCAGAACTGGGCAGTGTTTTGCTGATCTATGAATCAGAAATGAGTTGGCACCTAACAACAATACAGACAGGGCAAAGCATTAAAAGATGCTAAATACTGAAGGGATTACGACTGAGAAGTTACCTGGGTTTGGCTTCTAAAATGATCAAGATGGGAAACAGTGCACAGTGAGCGCAAATACAGGTAAAACCAGACAGGCTAGTATGCTGCTAACTGGAAGGCAGGTGATGGGTACAAAAGGGTTCATTATACCAGTCCATCCACTTTTTAGTATTTATGAATTTCCATAACAAAGAGTTAATTTAAAAATTGTAAAGAACACTATGATATTTAAATTTGACTACAAGGTTTTGAGCCCCAAAAGAAATACTTGACAAACCACCAAGTACTTGAGGGACAGGAAGAATCGAAAGGTGGTATCACACAGCCCAGAGCTGAACCAGCAGAGAAGCCTGAAACAGACATGCTAGCTGGAGAAGAGCAGCATGGAATGAATCACAGTTATGCAGCACTGAGCATGTGTGTAATAAACACATCAGAGGCAAGGGAAACAGACCTGAGGCTCATTAATATTTACAATGGCCACACCAAAGTATTTCAGGTGAGAAAACAACATGTATTGAGGAATGGAGGTAAGAACAAAGATATGTAGTCGAAATGTAATTTAAAAGGCACAACTGCTAAAATTAAAAACTAATGAAAGTGGTTGGCAAAATGAAGCCAGGTTATAGAAGGTGTTTGAAATCCTAGATGATGTACTCTGGGGACAATCAGGAATTCAGTGAGGAAACAATTTCCCAACTATCATCAAATGCCATGTGAAAATAAGTCTAGATATATACTAAGAGATTAAGGTACAAGCAATTTACGCTATGACCAAATATCTTAATAGAGTACATAAAAGAATACTTAAAAATTTTGCAAAGAAAAAAACATAGCTAATATTTATTGAGCAATTTGTGCATGATTTTAATGTAGCTTTAAAAAACTTTAAAAACGTATTCTTATAACACCCCTGAAACTCTTGCACTATCACTATAAAACAAAAAAGGAATCTTATGTGTGCTCAGGTATCTTACACAAGTAAAAGAGACTGTGACAAATCACAGAACCAAATGTCAAGCCCAGCTCTGTAAATGCTAAAACCTATCCTCTCATCATGATGCAATTTGGCTTTCTCAAAATAATAAACTTTTTTACATAGGTTTTTGTACCCTGACAAATGTTTTCCTAAGAGTGGGTCTGAAACTGATAAACAGAAATCAAATATGGCCACGCTTAAGACATGTTCAGAAAACCTCCAATGAATGTCATAAATCCACAGAACAGGCTTGGAAAAGTCAAATTCTTCTTCTCCACAAAGTTCTCCAAGATAGCACACTCACCTCAGTGTATGATTTCTTGGTTATGTGAACATTCTTAGCTCTATAGGACTGGCGTCTTCTTTTATAATCTCTCACTTCTGCCAGGATTTCAAGGTAAGATTTTGGACATTTTCGACTATTATCTAGAAAAGGAATAAAATTGTTATATCTGTAAGAGCTTTTCAATTGTTCCTAATTAGCAGGTAGTAACACTATCATCCTATGTTTCGATAAAGTACATGAAACATTCTAAACAGTCTACAATATTGGTGTTATACTAGAAGTCTTCAAAACGTTCATGGGAAATATTGTGAAGACTAGAGTTTTCCAAAAAAATTTGCACCAAAATAAACTCATTTTTAAAATTTTACTTTATAAAATAACTTGTTGTACATATGTGAACAGGGTCTAGTTTGATGCACTAAGGATGAGACATCAGTTTGAAAATAACAAAATCAATTCTGGTAAAATTGAAGCAAGAACAAACATTCTAAGTTTATGGTGGGACTTCGATGGAAGATTGAATTCATCACTGCTCTACAAAAAATTTAAAAGGATAGTGACCCAAAGAAACCAGCCATTTACAAATGGATAACTCATTTTTAGACGGGAAGAGATGATAAAGATAAAAGTCTATACCCAATGCCAACTACGTGGACAACCCCCTCTTCCCCCAGGAGAATTCACTTTAGAGGACAGCACTGAAGCTGCAGCTCAGGGAGAGGGACATGTCTGATCAGAGCACACGGGTGCAAACGAAGGGGAAGGAGAGAGAGCACATCCTGGCCCACCCAGCCCTGAGGACGATATACCTGCTCAGAGCATCCAATGCACAGAGAGGACCATAGGGCCTGCCCCGCTACGAGACACGACTTCCCTCACTGACCCACAGCGCGATGTGGGACAGCACTGGAGACAGTGCAGGAATTGTGCCCGATCTGACCCCACCACACCGAGGCGAAGCATTAGGGTGTGCAACAGAACAGCAAGGGGAGCAGAAAAACGAACTCCTGAGGAAGTTCCAAAAATAGACTTTGGGGCCAGGACATGGTGCCCCAATTAGACTCGACTGGAAAACACTCCTAAAGATCAACAAACATACTTTGAACTATTTATAGGTTTTTCTTTTTTCTCGTTAGTTTGTTTTTTCTTTTGTTGCTTTGTTTTGCTCTGTCTTGTTTTTGTGCATATTATTATCTCTGCAGGTCTATCTAGGTAAGATGGGAAGGAAAAACAATCTGGAGGAGAAAATGATCAACGTTTGGGGGGTGGGGGCACATGGGAGAGGGGGAGGCAGGGGAAAGGATGTGGGTCTTAATAAACCCAGGGATAACAGGACAACAAGTGATCCAAAATCGATGGCGGGAGGGTGTGAGAGGTCTGGTAGGGCTTGATCACGGGCAATGTAACTGAGAAGAATTACTGAAACCCAAATGAAGGCTGAGCATGATAATGAAAGTGCCTTGAACTTGATGAAGCATGTTGAGAAATAAAGTTTATACTCTTTATTTTTTATCTTTTCACTCTATTTTAGCAAGAACTTTTTAAAGTTCCCTTTTATAGTGTTGTATCATTCCTTTTCTTTGGCTATAAAACCAAGCAACAAGGAAAACCTGCTATCCTCATGTCAATGCCGACTCAAAGGGCACATACATGACAAGGCAGAACTGCCCCAAGGCTGTCAATCTTTACAAAAGCATTTCCCCAACACTGTCCTGCAGATGGTGGGTTCATGGATGGGGAGTCCAAAGAGTTGATTGTCTGGCTGGTCTTCGGTTGAATATAATGGTATTTAAGTATATAGCTTAAAGTAACAATCCAACTGTAAATAATATTCTTACAGAAGGAAGATATGCTTGGTAGGGGTCTGGGATCAAAATTTTATGCACCAAATAAATAGCTTAATAAAAGTATGAATATCAGATGATGCAAAAGCGCCCAATTTCAATTTGTTATGAAAAGTGGCTTGACAATTAAATAATTGTAATAACTCAAAAGCTAGAAAGATAATTGAGAAACGTAAAGCTGAATATTCATCTCAAACCTTGATTGACTTTAGCGGCCAAGTCTACAAAAAGATCACTGTCATTCTCAGTGATCTGAGAACTGGACTGCTTCTTCTTCGTTTCTTCGACTACAAAATCATAGATGGCACGGCGATCAGCTTGAGTTAGATCACAAACAAACCGTTTATGATTCAGAGGAACTTCAACAGGCACTGAAGAATAAATTCCTAAAGTAGAAATAAAACCACAAAAATGAACAGTACATGAAGCTCTGTGAAGGTATAATCTACTGAGTTTTTAAACATGCTATAATAAAATACTAACAAATCATTCTTGTCATAGTAATCTCTAAAGAGAAAGATCACTCTATGAGATAAATGGTAAAAGACCACTCTATCCTGAATACTACATATCAAAGAAAGGCTGTCCCATGGAGGCTTGCTAGTCTTCCCAGCAGTGTTAAGAGAGGCACCACGAGAGTAGGCTTGCTGAGAATTAATCCACCTGGGTGATCATTTCAAAGAAGGCCATCCACATTACAAAATTGGATATTGGTTTACGTTCAGAAGATCTTCTCCATAAAAGCTGAACATTTTTGCTTTCAATAGTTAGAACATATTAGAGTCTCTTCCCAAAATGAATTGTGAAAATCTAGTATGAAACATCAAACTTAATTTTCAATATTAAAACACTTCCCTCATTTGTGCCCTGGCTTAGAGATCAGGGCCAGAAACAATTTTTAAGTGGTAAAAATCTTCAAATTTTCTCAGATTAGAGAAATAGATTCATTTGAAAATAACTTATTTTCAATTACCTGAGGAATGATATTAATTTAACCAAATTAGCTGAAAGTGGACAGCAGTGGCCCCCTCCGACCCCCAACAGGCACTCACAGAACTTTTTCAAACCTGCTCATTAATGAAGAAAAGTATATACAATACCTGGATATGATGTATTAAATACCGAAGAAAACTTTTGTTTTGAGATTCAAAGTTTCTCAAAAAAAAAAAAAAAAAAAAAAGCCAAAAATTCTTTTAACTGTGAATAAATCAATTTAACACAATTCTAAATAGACTCCATTATGTAGCAATGTACACAGTAAAACAGGAACTACTCAAGGCATCCTCTACTGTCTGCTAGGTTACCCTGACGCACTAAAAAGTTCACAGAACACTGCAAAATCAGCACTCTTCCCAAATACTTACATTTGGTAAAGTCTAACCTCATTAACATCTTAGTAAGGAGAAGGGGAAAAAAGAATTTGAGTAAGAGCACACTGGGAAACTCAGCACTACAACTCGAAAGGGATATGTTAGACTGCCTATGATTTCAGAGGCACATTACACTGAGGAACAACAGGTAGCTATCAGTAGTAGGCAAGGGCTCAGAGTTAGTGGGATGAAGAGACCCCATTTCAAGTCAATAAATTTCACTCTACTTCTGGCAGGCACTAGGAAAAGTCCTTTAACGTAGATAGGTGTTAAAACACTTTGTTAATTTCCTCCCTAACAAATTTTGGTGGTTTGATTTATTTTAAATTTCCTTATAAAGATACTTGAATTCCTTTAAACTCAACCAAAATTCCAAATTAAGGTTATAATACTACAACAGCTATTAAAATGAAGTTTAGAAAGTTGAGTAATACTTTTAAAAGGATATCATTTGTAAAAAGGATACTGCATATCTTTAAATAAGGAGAACATTCAGGTTCCTAATTCCTCTTATACTCACCCCAATTACTGAAAAAGAAGAAGTAGAAGAAAAATTAAACAAACTACATTCAAAACACAGGCATGGATAAATACAATTAAATAAGCTTACATTTACACTGAATGTAAATTCTCAAAACTCAAGTTTCTTTATGATTTAGAGGCACAACGGAATTGCTATAATCATAGTAATTCTGTAACCCTCTAGTTATGTAAGTCTTCACAAAAGCTAACGGACTGAGAATTCTATAAAGAGTTTAGACCTGACATGGCTGATAAAATGAAAAATACATATAATTTTATTAAAATAAACAACTTACATTTTAGTGCATAACAAACAATATTAATTGAATGGGACATGTAGCAACAATTTCCACGTTAGTCAATTTGATTCCAATTCACAGCAACCCTAGTACAGAACTGCTCCTTGGGGTTTCTATAACCATAAATCTCATGGGAAGTGATTGCCTCATGTTCTTCTGTGGAGAGACTGGTAGGTTTGAACTGCCAACCTGGAGATTAGCAGTCCAACACATACCCACAGCAGCACCAGCGCTCCTTGCCCTGGAGCAAAAGGCTTAAAAATGTGTAAGACATAAGCAGGTCACAAATATAATCCGCTTAGAACAGTGGTTCTCAACCTATGCATTGCACCCTGTTTGGGGGTCAAACGACCCTTTCACAGGGGTCGCCCGATTCATAACTATAGCAAAATTACAGTCATGAAGTAGCAACGAAAATAATTTCAGAGTTTGAGGTCACCACAATATGAGGACCTGTATTAAAGGGTCGCAGCATTAGGAAGGCTGAGAACCACTGGCTTAGAAATTAAAACTCTACCCAGTATGAAAAAAATAATTTTAAAGAGGGTTACAGAATTCTTAGCAATTAAATCTTAACTTATGATAGTATAAAAGTTCAAAATGGAATAAAAGTCCCTCTATCAACTGAAAGAACTATATAAAGTAATTCTTTGCTTCTGCTGAGAACTAAGTTCAGTATTGGAATTTACCTTACTAATCAATCATACAGGTAAAAACGTAGGGCATTTTTCTAAATTACTCACATATATAAAATCCTTACCCATCCTTAATATTCTTTTCTATATATTTATTCACTTAAATAATAATAGCTACCAAATTTTGAACTAGGGATAGTTTAGCTTCCACGTGTTTTCTTCCTCTAAACAACCGACAGTTTCATGTTGATAAAGCTCATCTACACAAGGCCACACCAGACAGCTAATTTATGTCTTTAAAATAGGTGCAATCAAAGAAATATCCATCCACAGATTTCACTAATGCAGAATTTCTAATAAAGTCTCAAATAACTCAGTGCAGAGGAGTTCATATAAAAAAAATTAAACTCTGCTTTTAAATAAGTTTTTTTCTGAAGAGGAATGATAATGGGCTGACAAAAGGTCAGGAATCAACAATAGGAAAAATTGAATTTCTACTTGAGAAAAAAATCAAAACCAAAACAAAACCCCTTGAGTTAGCTGACAGGCAAAAAACCAGGAGCTTCTAAATAGGAAATACAGGAAGTGTTTCTGGTTATTGTAAAAAGCCAATAAACTCTAGACAAAAATAAGTGATGAGGGACTAGGTATGTCTCAACAAAGCACCTAAGACAAAAGGTTCACAGCAGACAATTCAGGAATCCTTTGAACATAGACCGGCCATGCTGTAGCTTTATGTTCTTCTCAAATTCGGAAATCTGACCTCTACTTGTTTACTTCTACTCTGCTCATTTACTTCCATGCTTCTACTTCTTTTTATGGATTAAGTTCTTTTCCAGTTGCCTTAATTGCACATGCTGAAAATCCCAACCTAATCTCCGCTAAAATAAGTCCCAGGTAGAAAATCTAATCCCAGTTTCAAAACTGGGCATGAAAAATAACCAAAAAAAAAAAGACACCTCACAAACCCTCTGCAATTACAGTAATGTTTTCTGTTTGTTTGTTTTTGAGAAGTGCATTCCTAGCATACACCATATTCCCAGAGGAGTTCAAGACCCAGGATATGAGAAACTCAACATCACGGGCAATCCTCTGAAAGGAGCTGTGGTCCTGATTTCTTCTAGGCTTAGCCTCTCCTGGTACACAGTATCTCAACGAGAGGGAAGATCTGGCAAGGGAGTCTCACTCAATGGGATTTATCTATTCGCTCACTTTTAAAGTTTCACCTACTAAGTGAAGCCCCTGGCTACAACAGAGTCCCAGGAGAGTCTGGATTCTTTAAGATGGAAATATCTACCAAATGAAATTAACGCCAAGCAGCTTAGCCCAATGTTAAATGTCAGAACCAACTTTCCCCAGGTTTATACAAGATTTTTCTGAAGTCGGTAACTTGTGTTTGTGTAGAAAACATAATTAGCTTCAACAATTAATTCACACAATGCCATCACTTACTTTGATTAGAAGAACAATCTCCATCTTTTCCATCTGTACTTCTAGCTTGTTTAATTATTTGTAATTGTGTTTCTTTATCTGGGGAAAAAAATCCATACACACCAGTGATCACAATTAAATTATTGACACCTTTACTCATTTTCCAATCCAAGCTCTTTGGGAACATCCACGAACCTACAATCTTAAGAAGAAAAACAAACAAAAAACACCCAGTCCCCTGCCTATTACCTCTGAAAGCAGAACTTTTTCACATCTAGCTATGGTATATTAAGATTACAAGCAGTTCAGGAAGCACTCTAACTAGGCAAGCAATAGTAGCTTCTACAAATTTTAGCAACCAATAAGAACTAGTTTCTTCTTCTTTTTCTTAAATCATTTTATTGGGGGCTCATACAACTCTTTATCATAATCCATACATACATAAATTGTGTAAAGGACATCTGTACATTCGTTACCCTCATCATTCTCAAGACGTTTGCTCTCCACCTAAGCCCCTGGCATCAGCTCCTCATTTTCCCCCCTTCCTCCCTCCCTCATGAACCCTTGATAACTATAAATTATTATTTTGTCATATCTTACACTGTCCGACGTCTCCCTTCACCCACTTTTCTGTGGTCACCCCCCGCCGAGAGGAATATGTAGATCCCTGTAATCAGTTCCCCTTTTAAGAACTAGTTTCTTAATGTCAACTAAGTATTGGGTACTATTCAAAGCATATCACACCCAAGGATAAATTTTAAAGTATTTCAAGTCACACATGCACAGGTTTATTCCAAACCAAATATGCTTAAAATGTCTCTTCATGTGCCCGGGGTGGGGAGACAGATTTTGAAGTCAGGGAATTGGTGTTCTTAAAATAAAAATTTCAACGAAATTCAAGTGGAAATCTTCCCAAATCAATGAAGCTTTGCAATAAGTTTATGAGAATGTTACTCCATATAAAAAAGCATTTAGGTGGATCAAATGCTTTATGGATGGATGAGAAGACCTCAAAGATGAACAAAGAAAGAAAACTGGTGGAAGACCATAAAATTTTCATTGATGGCAAGAGCTACCAAAGTTGGGATCTCACATGGTATGGCATTTTCAATTTTAAGCAAATCTTGCCTCAGCAAGCTTTTGGGTTGATGGGTGCCAAAGGCATTGCGAGAATCAGCTAGCTCAAAGATCTGACCTTTCCTTATGGAGCAAATCATTACTGGGGAGGCCTCTTAGAAATACCACGAAGACCTGCAGGGTCGAGTCCAAACACAACAGTGGGACTCGCTGGGCTGGTGAAATTCAAGGCATATAGATCAGCTTAAAAGTTAAAGTTGCTCCTATGACAATTGCGTTGGGAAACTTTACACCTCCATCCACCCTACCGCCCTGATTGTCCCCCTCAGGCTTCTTCATGTTCCTCGAACTCAGGGGACATTTACAAAGGGAGCATGATTTGAGTCCCTTGAAGGTGTCAAAGGGTAGTCTTGGTACAAATGACAGCACAGAATTTGTACAGGAAGGGTTAGAGATGGACACACTGCCTACTGATGAATACGGACCTAGATGGAAGATATGATGAGAAGCAACAGCTCCTTATTTTCATATTTGTTTTTAAATAAAGGTTTCTGTGATTTTGTAGTAACATTTTTTTGCCTCCCTCCCTTAAATATTATTAAATCTTCATCAAGATCTATTATCATCAACCCCATTTTACACTGAAACTGAAGCAACAAACAGATTAATTAATTTGTTAAAGGCCACACATTTGTTGATGACAAAGGCAGGAAATGGAACAGGGTAGCCTGATTCTAGTCAGAGTCCCTGCTTTTGAGCTCTATTGGCACTCAGTATCTGGAACATGCTTCCTTCCATCCTCAGCCTGAACTTAAAACCGTGTCCCTATTTTTGTTCTGACCAACAAGGGAGGCCTAGTCCTTCTTCTTTTTTTTTAGCCCTTCTTTTTAAAGTTTTTCAGGATTTTACTGTCTATTTCATAAGTGTGGCCTTTAAATTGCAGATTAAGAGAATGTGTTCCTATACATTAATTATCCCTACATTTTCTTTAAGTATTAAGAGAACGTCCTTTCTAATGTAAGTGTGTTTATAAAGCCCTTTCTTTTGATAAGTCAGAAATAAAACATCAACTATACTATTTTTAAATTGTCATTTAACAACTAAATACTTACTTAAAGTAACAGAAGGCACATTCATATTCTCATAGAAAAATTCAGGACTATACATTTCACCCTAGACAAAAAACCAAAAACAAAATACTTAGTATTCTTAATTATCAGATAATTGACTATTTTTAAAATTGACATTAAGAAAAGGTTACTATTATTTAAATACTTCTTGCAATAATTTGTGAAGTTAGGCAAGAACTGTTCTACCCTACAAATTGGTTGCTATTTTATGTCAGAAAACTTCACATTATAATATCGTCCAAATACTGTGAACTCATCAATGCATGAATTCTATGACATATGCATAGTACAGAATATTTACAGTACCTCTTCTTCTTTGGTATAGTCCAGTTTCCTCAATCTACACGAGACCATGTGCTTCACTAAAGATGACTTAGGCATATGATGATTGGAATCATATGGACAGATCACAACTTCATCCTACAAAAATCAAATAGAAGGAAAGCTCATTGCAATTCAGTTTCAAACACCTCTCTAAAAGAAAATGATTTATAAAGTTTAAAGAATTATTATCATAAACATGTCTGTCCTGATCTGGTCACACCCCTTGTCTCTGGGCTTCTACAGAAGTTGCTCTGAGTTAATTTTACTCATATTTTTAGGTATCAGCTATTGTCCAGGATGCCTTTGCTGTACCACCACAGCCAACAATAATTTGCACTACACTACTTCTAACCCCACGCCATCATGGGGTTTATCATATGCCAACATGATAGATTATCTTTCTATATTCCTCCAGACCACCTACCAGAACCGATTTCTATGTTCCTCACCACCTCCACAACTGTGACTACTGTTCGCCACACATCAATTTTTTTTTCTTTTTCACACATCAATATTAAAACACTCTAGCGGGAAACTGAACTAGCTCGGTTGGACCTCTTGTACACAGTATGGGCATTACTACCCAGAACTTTAAAAAACAGTCACTTTTGAACAGCAGCTACTGAATTTGCAAAACTTATGAAGCAGATTAAATAACTATCAGAATTTTGCTATTTTACCAAGACATTTGAGAGCGACAGCACAGCAAGTCAGCACACAGGCTCCAGAGCCAGGCTGTCTGGCTGTGCTATTTACTAAAACAACAAAAAAAATAAGCATAGCTCAAAAATACATCTGGGGAGAGGAAGAGGTTGGCAAACTGGAAGGCATGTGTATTCTGTGTGTAAAGACCCAATCCTAACCATCACTGCATGTAACGGGCAAATTATAGCCTGTGTTTTTTTCGGTCATCATCTGGAAAAGGTGACTGACAGTACCTACCTTTAGGGTTGTTATGAATATTACACAAGCTAATGGATGTGGAAGTTTTACTTAAATATTTGCTAAATTAAAGGATCCAAAGTTGCTATGATGTTGACCAAACAACAGACCCCACTCAGTTTCAAATTCAGTTTCAAACACCTTTCTAAAAGAATGATGCAGATTTTTAAAAAAATAAATTATCCATCACACTCAGAATATAATACTTTAAATGCTTGTGGAAACCAGTTAAAAAACTTGCATGTGAGAGAAATAACTACCTTTGGTAAAGTCAGAATAAAGTCCAGAGATCATGAGACATCCACAGTGGAGCACTTCCTTTCCCCCAGCCACCAAAAGAAAAAACCAAATATCCAGATCTTTCACAGACTCTCTTATGATTGTCTACAGTTTTCAAAAATCCGTTAACGCGGTATGAAACATCAGTGTTCATAATTAAAATGACTAACACTTTTCCTGGTTTCCAATCCTAGTCTTTAGGCACAGTGACAAGCCTACAATCTTAAAAGCAATACCCAAGGCCTCACCAACTGCTTCTGAATTCTCTCAGATCTAGCAAGAGCACAGTAAGTACCTTACGTAAGTAACCCAGACTTCAAGCAACCCAGTTCAGAGTAGTGAATGGCACAATGTTCGCCGACAGCTTCTTGAATTACAACTGCCAAGCATGATTCTAAGGCTATCGCATGTATTACATTACTTAATCCTATCCTCACAATGATACAATTATCACCATCCCCACCTTATTTTGAAGTTTACGCAACAAACAGGTTTAATTAACTTGCTAAAGGTCACACATCTCTTCGTGACAACCCCAGGAAATGAATCAGGGCAGTCTGATTCCAAAGGCCCTACTTATAATCTCTCTATACATTCCCATCCTTGGGCACACGATTTCAAACGATTTTGTGTGCCCGTATATTAGCTATGACCAAGGTGACAGGCATAAAGCTTTGCCAGGGTTTCACTACTAAGGTCAAAGTGTTCTCTAAACTTGCAATTACAAGAACAAGTTTCCTGTACATTAATCAATCGTACGTTCTCTTACTTATCCTGTTTCCCCGAAAATAAGACAGTTCTTATAATTTTTGCTCCCAAAGATGTGTTAGGTCCTATTTTCAGGGGATGTCTTATATGTTTCCATGAAGAAGAATACGGTACACATTTAGTTTTATTAAAAGAGACCTCGCACTTCCTGTCTGCTCGGTACCATAGCTTGGGGAGGCCTTATTTTCGGGGAGGCCTTATTTTCAGGGGGATGTCTTATATTTCGGAGAGAGGCAAAGCTGTCAGTAGGTCTTATTTCCGGGGGATGTCTTACTTTCGGGAAAACAGGGTAGCTCTGGTGGTGTAGTAGTTACGCGTCGGGCTGTGCTCCGCATGGTCAGCAGTTCAAAACCACCAGCCGCTCAGCGGGAGACAGACTGGGCTTTCCACTCCCCTGAACAAAGTCTCGGAAACCACTCGGCGCCACCCCGTGCCATGGGCCAGGGCCCAATGAGGGTCCCCCAGCCGCCTCACCTCCGCCGCCGCCTCTTCGCCGGCGTCCAGCTGACTCAGGTTCCAGCCCAAGGACGCTGTCACCTCTTCCAGCGTCGCGCAGCAGCTCTCCACAAAGTCGCTCAGCTCCTCCTGCAGCCGCCGCCGCTCCGCCACCGGAAGGACACCGTCCTCCATGGCCCAGACGCGCGGAGTGCAAGCAGGCGGCGGACGGAAGTCCAACCGCGCGCGGGGGCCTCTGGGAGTGTTTGGGCGGGGCCGCGCCGCCACGTGACCGGGGCGGGGCCGCGCCGCCGGGTGACCGGAGCGGCGCTCAGGCAAAGGGTCCGGAGAGAGACGTGGGGCTGTCACTTGGAGAGGCGTCTGGGTCTCTTCTGGTCCTGGATCTCTTGTGTTTCTAAATGCGCTTGCGCCTGGCCTCTCTGAATTCTGATAGTAATACTCTCTGAAGTATTTCTCCCTCTTATATATAAAAAAAAATGTTTCCAGTACAAAAAATTTGAAGAAAACTACCATGAGCGTTTGTCTCCCCTTCCTCTAACTCATTAGCATGTTGCTGGTTTTCTCTCTACAAACACAGCTCCACTCATTTTTGCGAAGTAGTGTCAAAGTAAGCTGCAAACACGGCACCCCCAGATAGTCCACATTCATCTCCTAAGAATAAGAATATTTTCCTGCATAGCACAGTGCGTAAGCAAACGTAAGAAAATTCATTACCCCATCATATCATCTAATGTTCTTAGTTGCCCTCAGTGGTTCCTGCCCCGTGTGCACCATCCTCAAAAGAGTTGAAATGTTTGAGCCCATTGTTGCAGCCCTGGGTCCATCTATTGACCCTCTACCAAATATGATGCCGTTTCCCAGGGAGGGGTCTCTCCTAATCAGGTGTCCACAGTGAGATAAGGTCTCATCATGGTCCTTTCCAATGAGCCATCGGGGTGTACTTCCAAGAAAAATGTATTCTACTGGCAGTCCATGATACGTATATTCAATATTCCTCATCAACGCCATGATTCAAATATCATGCAATACACAGTTCAGATTGACTTCCTTAATTGTCCCCCAAATGCTTTTTAGAGTAGTTACAGTCTTTTTTCCAAGCTGTGATCTATATTTGGTTATTATATCTTTTCATCTAAAAGTCTCCTCCATCCTTCTCTTTTTCAAGTCACTGAATTTTGTAAAGGGCCGTCGACAGTTGTTTATTTCATATTCTGGATTTGTCAGATTATTTTTCTCTCTCATGATTCAATTCAGTTAAAGCATTTTCCCAAGAATCCTGCATAGGAAATGGGGTAAACCCATCACCCTGCTCCTCCTGACAACTCATAGTGTGTTGTCAGACTAGAGCAGTGCTCCATGGGGCTTTTAATGATGGCTTTTAAAAGAAGTAGCTCTCCCCAGGGCTTTTTCCTAAGGCACTTCGGGATGGACTCCAAAATGTTGCTCTGCTCGTTATCTGTTACGAAACCCAGGAATTCTCTCTGGATATTAGTAGTGCTGACTGACCAGATAGTAAAGTGCCATTGTAATCACACATTTTCCTTTTGATAATTGGTACTTAATATGAGAGACAATCCCTTGAGGTCCCATGAATAACTCGACTACATTCTCCTGTGTTGTTTGGTTCACTGTGGAGCCAAGGGTATTTTAGTACAAGTGGCCTTTAAAAGGCTTGTGGGAAATGAAAGGTGATGGAATTTTTCCATAAACCTTTGAAGCCTCCTCATATTACTGATTTAAAACTTTTAGATTCCTTATATTATTCTCTATTATAATTCTTGGTGGACCTCAAATTGTCCAAATTTGGTCCCCAATGGAAGACCTTTTTTTTTTTTGTAAATCATTTTATTGGGGGCTCATACAACTCTTATAACAATCCATACATATATCAATTGTATAAAGCACATGTGTACATTACCCTCATCATTCTCAAAACATTTGCTCTCCACCTAAGCCCCTGGCATCAGCTCCTCATTCCCCCCCCTGCCTCCCCGCTCCCCTGCCCCTCATGAACCCTTGATAATTTATAAATTATTCTTTTGTCATATCTTACATTGTCTGATGTCTCCCTTCATCCACTTTTCTGTTTCCGTCCCCCAGGGAGGGGGGTTATATGTAGATCATTATAATAGGTTCCCCCTTCTACACCATCTTCCCTCCACCCTCCAGTATCACTACTCTCACCACTGGTCCTGAAGGGATCATCTGCCCTGGATTCCCTGTGTTTCCAGTTCCTATCTGTACCAGTGTACATCCTCTGGTCTAGCCAGATTTGTAAGGTAGAATTGGGATCACGATAGTGGGGGTAAGGAAGCATTTAGGAATTAGAGGAAAGTTGTATGTTTCATTGTTGCTACACTGCACCCTGACTGGCTCGTCTCTTCCCCTGACTGGCTCATGACCCTTCTGTAAGGAGATGTCCAGTTGCCTACAAGATGGGCTTTGAGTCCCCACTCCCACTCATTCACATTATGATTTTTTTGTTCTTTGATGCCTGATTCCTCATCCCTTCGACACCTCGGGATCACACAGGCTGGTTTGGGAAGACACCTTAAGCCGCACACCAACACCTTTGACACTTCCCACTGGTCCTAGAGTATTTCCTTGCTTTAAAGACTCACATTGTTCACTTCCTGTCCAAGACCCGGAATCGATCCAACTTCCTTTAATTTTCTCTGGTTTTAACTCTGATTGCTTAGGAACTTGAGAGGGTTCCAGAGTCTGGAAACTCTTACAAGTACCAAATAATAGATCCTCAAGCCAGTACCAAACCTTAACTTCCCTTTGCACTTGTTTGCACCAGATGAGGAAATTGTGGATGAAATTTTTTTGTGAACTACTATTTCCAAAGGCCAATAACGAGTCTTACCTTAAAGAGCGGTGATAATGAGAGTTTAAAAAAAAATGTAAATGGGCCAGTAGCTACACATAGATATGGGGTTAATGTAAAGTTCTATAATTAATTTATTCATACGGCATTCCGTTATACATTTACACAACCAAGCAATAGAGAAAATGTGGGACTGATTTTGAGTGTGAAATATGGCTCCCAATGGTCATCGTTTCCTTTCCCTTGTCTGTATCAGGAGCCCTGGTGATGCAATGGTTAAGCGTTGGGCTGCAGCCATCTATCTGCAAGGTCAGCTGCGGGAGGACAGCCTAAAGATGGGGCTGCAGCGATCTGCAGATGGGGCTTTCTAATCTAGAGTCACCATCTCAGAAACCCACGGGGGCACTTCTACCCCGCTCCTATAGGGTCACTGCGAGTTGGCACTGACTAGATGGCAGCGAGTTTATCTTATTTCGTTCATTCATTTATGGCGGATGTACCATGTATGGGAACTGAACCAACTTGGCTCAGGTAAGCCTGTCCATCCTAGTTCATCAGTGTTTAATAACGTAAGTAGTAGCGTGCGGGTGGTAGGTTCCCTGAATCCACAGCTTGATTTTATCATCCATGAGACCTTTATTTGGTCCAATTGAATATAGAATATTAAGCTATCATGGTAGGTTTCCTGAATCCACAGCTTGATTTTATCATCCTTGAGACCTTTATTTGGTCCAATTGAATATAGAATATTAAGCTATCTGTTGTTTGGGGCGGGCACAGGGCAACTGTTGGGGAAAAGGTTAAGTTTGGCTTTTGAAAATGAAATCCTTAGTTAAGAGAGCAGGGAGGATGCACAGAACTATGCAAACTGTTACTTTCCTTCTGTTACCTCATCGGGGCTGGGCACCGTGGTTGGCTGGGCGTATTTGGACCACCTGCGGGGTGTGTGAAGTCATGGGAGAGGCTGGGCTTTCTCACTGTGAACTGCAATGGTGCCTTGAAAATGGAGGTGCTCAAAAGCCAAATTAAAGTACATTGTACTCTCTAGTTACCTTATCAACCTGAGGAACTTCTCCTGGAAGTTTGCTAATCTCTTAAATATCACCCCCTTGGGGTAGTACTTTCATTTTTTATATCTATACGACAAAGTTTGATTTTACTTCTCTATAGTACTGACTATAATGTAAAAGCCTTTTATCAGGGGACTCATACATTCTATGGAATCCACGTGGTCTGCAGGCCATTATTAGCCATAGTGGGTATTTATAAAGTGGTGTTAATTCCGTAGCAAATGTATGAATTTCAAGTGTTTCTTTATTCCAAAATGTAGGCTTATATCACATTGTCCGTCAATAGACTACCAGAATTCTTCAGGAATCATCTTCCCGAATCCAAAGACAATTCTTCCCAGAAGATGAATGTATATACATACATGGCTTTATTCCAAACAAAACATGTTTAAACATGCCTCTGCTGTGAGTGGATGGCTGCAGACAGATTCTCTAAGTATTACATTGATCTTCATTTCCTTAGGATGCCTTTAAGCAAAAGGTCCATTCAGAACAATGACTTGCAAAGGGAATGCTAAGCCACTTAAAGTTGGAGTAGAGACAGCAGCTCAGAAAGTGATGGTGACTGTTTTATGGGATTTCAAAGTCATCCTCTTGATAGGTTTTCTCAAAGGACACAGGGACTTATTTTGAAGAAATTTTAAGGAAATGGGAAACTGCACTGGTCAGAAAAAATATAGGAAAGTTGCGCTTAGAATTTCTTTCCCCCGAGACCATGCCAGTGGACCTGCTGCTCCTTCGTCTGGGGTGGCAAAGACTGTCCTATGAGAATTGCCTTGGGAAACCTTTCCCCTTTCACACTTATTTTTGTTCCCCACACTAAAAGATCACTGAAAAGGCACATGATAAGATGCCAACACTACTGTCTTGGCATAATGTAAATGGAAGAGCGCAGAACTCTTCAGGAAAGGGTTAGACTAGAGAGCTGGAAACACCCACAGGGGTATATGCATATAAGCGGAGGCTATGTCAGAAAGAAGAGCTTTATACTTTGACCTTTCTTCTTAGTAAAAGTTTCTATGATTTTTGTGGCAATACTTTCTGACTTACCCTGACTAGAACTGGGTAATGACTTAGACTGCTTCCATGGACTTCTTTCCTAAAGTGATCAAGGTAGGTTGAAAGAATCAACACGAATTCTACGGAAAATCCAAAGCTTAAATGCTTTCTACTAGTGTTTCTTAATGGGTATTGGGTAAACAAGCTATTGTGTTTTAGTAAAGAAAAGCTGCTGACAAATATGTAAGCTTCAACCTTGTTAAATCACACCACAAACACTTCAAAAGTCTAAAACTTTATTGACAGAATAGCCAACCTTTTAAAAAGTACACTGAAACTGACAAGCAAAATAAACAGGAAGCTTTGACCAAGCAAAGCAAAGATTGCAGCTATCATGCATATGCAGTCAAATTAGTACCAAACCAAACAAGGACATTTGATAGTACATGTGTTATACAATCTACATTCAGAAACTAAGGGAGACTCATTCCAAAATGCTTGGTTTTGGGTGATTTTGTGGGTAGGGGTGAGCGAAAGATATGGTAACATTTAGGTGAGAAACAGAATGACTGAAATATCAATTATCCATTTTTATCTTAAGAATAGAAATCTATATTAAATGCCAAAAAGAATTCAAGAAGAGTTAGTCCAAAAATCTAACCTCAGAAAGGAGGAAACACATTCTAAATTCAATTTGTGCTATCCTTACAATTGATTACCATTTCAGATACACTACATCCAAGGTGTATTACATTAGTTTTAAGAAAGTCTAAGAAGATTAAAAGCCAGAATAGCCTTTACTATTTGAGTTCAAGCATGACTACCGTTTCTTAAGCAAGGTTATATCATTCCTACTGCAAGCACTGAGCTTTTCGTTATTATTTAATAAAGTGAAATTCATATGAAAGCTGCCAAGGCGTAGCAACCATTTCCAACTGACTTACTAATGCCCAATAGAGCTACTGCTAAATGAGTAAGTATAAGAGTAGGAAGAATTTCCTGTTGCATCGAAACTGCCCCTCCGGGACCCACTGCGAGAGCCGGAGCGAGAGCCGGAACGAGAGCCGGAGCGAGAGCCGGAGCGAGAGCCTGGGGCAGAAGACATATTATAAGGGCTGGGCAAGCCCTTGGAGGAAACGGAGGCTGCTTCCAGAAGGCGTAGCCCAGTGATATCTTCTACCATGGAGCGGTTCACAGCATCCTTGTAGGATATTTTCAACTTGGTTTTGGGGCAGGTCAGGATTTTGGCATAGCTGTTGGTGTCTTGCAGCCTCTGAGCTGCTCGGCCGTCGATGAAGCCCTTTCTGATGGCTTCCTCATTGCTTATCCTCCCGTGCACTTCTGGGTCAACCAGCCCTCCTGTGAGGTACTGGAACTCCAGGAAGCGCTGCCCTGCCTCATAGGGGAGCCATTTTTCTTTCACGGCCTCTGCTGCCGACATCTTCTTCTTCCCCTTCACCCCTTCAAAGCCAATGAAGGCTTTCTGAGCAGGCTTCAGCCTGGTGGCCATATCCTGGTCAATCAGACCCTGGGAGACAGCCTCTTGGAGTGACAACTTCTGACCAGTGGTGGGGTGGATGATGCCACCCGTGCAGGCCTGAGCTTCCAGAAGCCTCTGGCCTGTGATGCTATCCACAATGCCGCGCTCAATGCCTTCGGAAATGGAGATTTTTTCCAAGTTTTCTGTGTCAAAGATGGCTGCAATGGGGCTGCTCTCTTCCAGGGGGTCGGACAGAGAGCTGCTCCGGATGGTTAGATTCCGGACGCTGGATATGGTTGAGATCTTGCTTACAGACTCGTGCCTCGAGCTGCTGAACACTTCATCACTGACGCCTCCACCGAGGCTGCCGCTATTGCCCATGCCATTTTTCAGGGAGATCATGTCAGCGAACTGCGTGAGACTGAGGCTGCCAGACCGGTACTGATCAAAGAACTTCCGATCGACGAGGCCCTTGTCAATGGCCTCCTGAATGTCGTACTGACTACCTGTCTTCCTATCGACCAGAACCACTCGGGTCGAGCCGTCCGACCCGGTGATGGTGATCTCTTCCCACTCGCACTCCTGGTCACACAGTTCTTTGAAGGTTTCGTAATCGATCAGCCCCTTCTTGTAGGCCTCCTGAACGGACATCTCCTTGTTGGTTTCGGGGTCAACGATGACCACTCTCCGCTTCCTGAGGGTGTTTTTCTGGGACGTCTGCACCTGCTTCTTCTTCTCTTTCAGAGGAAGAAGACAGAGCCCTGTCTCCTCATCCTTGATGCACCTTTCCTTCAGCTGCAGATAGGTAAGGTTTTCCTCGGTATTGGGGTCGAAAAACCCCTTGGTGTCATCGCTGGGATCTGAGAGGATCTCGCTGAGCTCCTCGTTGAAATAGCCCCTCTTGTAGGCCATGTCCACAGGCAAGCGATGGCTCTCCTTCGGGTCAATGATGCCCCCGGTAGCGATCTGTGCTTCCAACAAGCGAATGCCGTGGCCCTTTTCAATGAGCTCCTTGTTCATGGCTTGGAACAAGGAGATGATGCTCCCTGTCTCAGGATCATTGTACCCGGTGACAGCTCGTTCCGCAGACAAGAGCTTCTCTTTAAACTCAATGCCCACGAGGCCTCTTTTGTAGGCTTCTTCTACAGGTAACCTCAGATTGCTAACGGGGTCCACGATAAAGCCAGTAGCAGCTTGGGCCTCGAGCAATTCCAGAGCAGTGCCGGGTCGGACCAGGCCAATCTTCATGGCCTCATAGATGCCAAGCTTCTGTTTCGTGGTCTCGTTGTAGATGCCAGCTATGCAGCTTGAACCCTGGAGAAAATCCTTGATCCGCTCACCAACCTCATCATAAGAAATCTGCCCCGACTCAAGTTCATTGACAGTGGATGGTCTCAGAATGCCAGAATCGACTAGTTCGGTGACGGTCACGGGCTGTCTGATCCCTTGGAAGGACATGCTTCTCTTCTGGACAGACAGCAAGAGCAGACCCGTGTGTGGCTCGATTCGGCACCGTTCCCTCAGCTGCATGTAACTGACCTTCTTTTTGGTGATCGGGTCCATAAAGTTTTTCTGACTGTCTCGGGGGTCATTCAGTGATCGATACAAATCCCGATCGATCAGCCCACGGGCCAAGGCTACATCTTTTGGCAAAAAGACACTGTTAACAGGATCCACAATGCCCCCAGACGCGATCTGGGCTTCCAGCAGGCGCATTCCAGTTTCTCTGTCGATCAGATTTTTCTTGATAGCTTCAGAGACAGATACTGTCTTGCCTGAAAATGGATCATCAAAGCCTATGATGGCTTTTTCTGCCGTGTAGATCTGCTGTCGGTCATCAAATTCAATGAGGTCCCGGGCAATGGCAGTGTCAACGGTCAGCTTCTCGTTTCTGTGGGGATCGATGATCCCACCAGTGGCTGCCTGGGCCTCCAGAAGCATGACGGTGGACTCTGGGTTGATTAATTTCTTTCTCTTGGCCTCGACCAATGAGTACTTTTCCTTAGGAGAGACAGATGCTCCAGCAATCGCTCCGGCACCCCGAAGGAAAGGCTGGATTTCAGAAGTGACTTCTTCCACGGACTTCTTCCCCTTCATCAGCTTGTCCAGGGTTGTCTTGTCAATCAGTTGGCACTCATAGAGCTGCATCGCTGTCACCTTCTTCCTCAGTCCATCGAACACCAGCTTGGAGGTGTCCACCGTCCATTCGTACTCCGTCTGGGTCTCCCGATGGGACCCATAGGGCCGCTGTCGGAGCTTGTCGATCTCTCGCTGGAGCCGGGAGCGCTCCGTCTCCAGCTGGCACTGCGTATCCCTGGACGAGTCCTCCAACTTGCGCTTGCACCTCTCCTCAATCCTCTTGATCTCTGCCTGCAGTCTCTCAATCTCGCTCCTCATGCTGTTCTTCTCCCGCTCGCTCTTCTCCCTTTCTGATTCGATCTTCCTCATGGCCTCCTCCTTACGGGAATATTGGGTTTTCCACTGATTTAGGTCGTTCTGGATCTGCTGCTTCTCACACTCAAGGCGCTGCTTAACCCTGCTTTCCGACTCCATCGTTGCCTTGGCCCGGTTCAGCTCATCCTCCAGCCTTTGCAGCCTGGCCTTGTCTTGTTCCAGGACCTTGATTTTCACCAGGAGGCTCTCTCGTTCCTGCACCACTTGAGTGCACTGACTTTTTGATTCCTGAATCCTGTTAGATGCCTGCAATTTCAAAGGGAAAGAAAAATATTTTGATCACATCACATTACTATCTTCATTGAAACATTTTCCTTCTATCTGGAAAAAAAAAGTTTGCTTATTTCCTTTTCTATGGTTACCCTGGATATATAAGGGGGCTCAAAAAAATTCATGGAAGAATGGAAAAATAATAGAAGTTCCCACAAACTTTCTGAAGTCCCTTTGTGTTGCCAGCTTCCAAATTCAAAGAAAAAGTTCTATAGATGTCTATTGCCACTTTCATTACTGGCTTCATACTTACTCTATTTTCCCATAAGAGGAAATAGAAGTTATGACCCTATTGTACTTGCTAATCGTGGTTCAAAAGAATATGGGGAATTTTCTTCAAATCTGTTCTACCTACAGCTCACCTGCTACACCTACACCAACATGATTAACAAAGCAATACAAGCATATAAGCATATGAATATACGATGAGAGTGGAAAAGTGTGTGGAATTGTTTCACTATCGTTGCATTCCATTTCCCCACAAACTTAATGAAGTCCCCTTGCATATCTACCCCGAACCCAGACCCACACAAATATTGTCTATAGAAGTCAAATGTAGAGGTTATTTTTTTAAAGTCAGACAGAAAGATATACATCAAGACCACAATGAAAAGAAAACAGAATCATGCATGCAGGGGGAAAAAATCATCAAAGCAAGCAGGAAAAAGTGGCTTCTGAATTGCAGAGAAACCTGCTTTGTTCATTGTTTGGCTCTAATTTAGGAAAAGGCTCATCACCAATGTAAAACAGGAGGTGCTGTCCAGAAAATAGAGTGGACTGTTCAGCAGAAGTGATCTCAGAGGTTACACACATGTTAGGATTATCACAGATTAATTTAAAGACTGATCTGGATTATCACATGTGCAGGTTCAGCAATAAAAAGAGGAAGCTCTCTATAAATAGGCACCTAAGTAGCAAGAGCGTGATTGGGAGTGATTAAGGAGTGAATTATTTGAGAGACAGGGAAGCCGTGATCAAATATTTGTGAGTACCTCTAATGCCTGCTTTTGGAATTTCTCAATTTCCTGTCTCAAATTTTCCCTCTCTCTCTGTAAATCGTTAATCAGCCCCTGCAGTTCCAGGGTCCGGGTGTTGCTGACTTGCAGCTGGCTCCTGAGGTCGTTGATGGTGGCATTTTTGTCGCAGTCCGCCTCGCTGCGGCCCCGCCTCAGGTCGTCGTACTCCAGCCTCAGGTTCCGCAGCTCCTCCTCCAGCATCAGGTGCTCCTTGGTGAGATTCTCCGTGAGCGACTGCAGCCGCTCGATTTCTATTTTGCTCTCATTTAAGCTCCGGCTTTTGTCTTCGATCGCCTTCTGGAAGTGCTCATTCCTCAAGTGGGCCTGTTTGACGCTCTCTTGTTCCTGAAGCAGCTGCCGCCTCAAGGCCTCAAGCTCCGAGGCCAGCCTCCTCAGCTCCTCCTGGGTCTTCTGCTTGTCCCTCACGTGGCCATCCAGCACGTCTCTCTGCTGGCGGAGGTCATCCTCACTCCTCTTCTTCACGATGGACGCCTGCTCCAGCTGCTGCGTCAGGTTGGTGACTTTGATGGCTTGCTCTTTCAGGGACCTCCTCATGCCTTCTAGCTCGTCCTCCAGCTTCTTCCTCTTGCTAGACTCTTCGGAGGCCGTCCTCTTGAGCCGGTTCAGCTCCTCTTCCACTCTCTGCTTCTGCAGCTGCAGGTCTTTCAGCGAGTTCTGGAATCTGCTGATATCCTGGTCTTTCACGGTCCTCTCTTGGGAAACCCTCTCGTAGTCAATTCTCAGGCGGGTGAGCTCCTGCTCCTGGACCTTCAGCTTGCTGACGGACTCCACGGCGCTGCTGTGGGCTTTCTGCAGGTCATACTGCACCCGCTGCAGTTTGGTGTTTGCATCTTGCAGGCATTCCCGCTCTTTCGTCTCTGATTCCACCAGCTGCTTTAATCTTTCGATCTCCCTGTTTTTATCCTGGATGGTTTTGGCAGCGTCATCGAGAGACTGCTTATACTTCACGCTCTCCTCGCTTCGCATCTGCGTGACCTGCCGCAGCTCCAGCTCCAGCTGCTGCTTCCTCTGCGACATCTCCGAGCCCGCGGCCTTCTGCTGCAGCACGTTTTCCTCCACCCTCCGCAGGCTGTCTGTGGTCTGGGCGAGGGTGGTCTTGAGCCTCTTTATCTCCTCCGCCAAGCTCCTGTTTTCTCTGGTGAGTTTGTCGACTTGGGCTCGGTAGCCACTGGTGTCGTCTTCTTTCTGCAGGGTGAGCTGGTGGATGGTGGTCTTGGTGATGTTGATCTCCGTCTCGAATTGGTTTTTCAAACTAATGATCTCCTCGTCGTAACTGTTCCTTACCTTAGCCAGTTCAGTTTCGTATTCCCAACGGCGCTTGGCCTCCTCCTGAAACTCCGTTTTGAGTCTCTCAATCTCCTTGTTTTTGTCCTGGATGGTCTTGGCAGCCTCCTCCAGGGACTGCTTGTGCCTGGCATTGTCCTCAGAGCGCTGCTGAATGACCTGCTTGAGCTCTATCTCCAGATGCTGCTTCTTCTGCAAGATCTCTGAGCCACAGGCCTTCTGCTGGAGCGCGTTCTCCTCCGCCCTCCGGCGCTGCTCCGTGGTCTGCAGGATGCTGTCGTTCAGCCTGACGATCTCGTCCTTCAGATCCCGATTCTCCCTCGAGAGTCTCTCGAGCTGGTTCCTAAGGTTTTTAGAATCGTCCTCCTTTTGCATGGATATCTCTTTGATGGTCGTCTTCGTAATGTTAATCTCGGTTTCATACTTGTTCCTTAAATTACTCATCTCCTCATTATAGTGGTTTCTTACCTTTGCCAGCTCATTCTCATATTCTCTCTTCCGGGTGCCCTCCTCCTGCAGGAGAACCCTCAACCTCTCTATTTCGTACTCCTTCTCCTTGATGGCCTTTTCAGACTCCAGTTTTTGCCAGCCCAGGTTTTCCTTTTCACACTGCCTGGCTTTCTGCAGCTGGTCATAATCGTTTTTCTGTTGGTCAAATCGATCCTCCACGGTCTTCCTCCTCCTCTTTTCGTCTTCGATCTCGTAGGTGAGTCTGGTGATTTTCTCATTGAGCTCTTTGATTTGACCGTAGCACTTGTCAAGGTTCTGCTTGGCCGACTTCCCGTCCAGTTCGGCCTGTCTCTTCAGTTCCTCCAGGCTCACAAGCTTGGCTTTGAACTGGGAACACTCTGCCTGGTATTTCTGCAGGTTCTGGTCCAGGAATTTGTTCTTGTTGCAGTTTTCGGAGTTGGCGTCTCGGGCCAGTCTGAGCTCCTCCTCCAAAACTTCGATCTTGGTATTTTTCAGCTGTGGGATTAAGACCAGAAATGTTGTTGAATGAGAAACATCTCACATTTCAAGAAAGAGCAGTACTTTTCCACACTCGGAGCAATGGGCCTCCTGATTTCTCTTCCTACAAACAGTCAGAACACACTCAAACACATAACCTACACATGACACGCCTGTAAACACACATAAATGCCTTCATTACACACACAACCCCCACCATACATACTCACCCAAACACGTGACACATATGGACACACCCCCACACTGCACACACAAAGGACATATACACAGTCGACCGTACACACACTCTGTTATGAGGGGGAAAAAACTCTGGCAAAAATTTAAGGAATATGGATTCTTGTCAATAATGATTTCATTAACTATATTATCCTAGCAAATAACAGTATCATATTTTGGTCTCTGTTTCCTCATCTGAAAAATGAAGTGATTTTTTTCCCCCCTGAGATCCAAAGCTTTTGATGTTATACACTGTTTCCCTTTATTTCAAAGTATCAACTGAGTTTCCATATAGATTCAAATATAGAGAAGAGTAAATTAAATCATTTAAAATGAGTAAATTAGAAAAGAGGAGTAAATTAAATAACTAGTCTAAAGTAAAAAGTCAAATTCAACTAGTCCAAGATATTCTTATTCTTGAAGGGTTAAAGAAAATTCTTTGCTCAAACATTAAACAAAATTATTGTTTTATGGCACAATAGAAGAGCTGCAATTTTGCAAGTGTTGCTTAAGTCCACTTAGAATACTGTACTGGAATATAGGACAAACCCCTGTATTATTATTAAATGTTTAGGTAAAAGATAGTTTCACCGGTGTGCATTCAAACCCATGTTAAAATAAGGTGTAAAGAATAAGTATTCTATTCTAATACTGGATGACCCAAAGAAATAAAGTAATAAATTACCTTCAGATCTTCCAAACTCTTCAGCATCTCACTTAGGAATCTGTAATAATCTCCAGACCTTGTAAGCAGTTCTATGTATCGCGCATGAATGTCTGCAGCCTTGGAGAAAAACAACAGGGAGAGATATGAGAGGAAACGGAGTACCAAACAAGTTGACTAATTTTATTTTCCAAAGCAAAATAAGGTGCAATGTATGTAATTGAAATAAATGCTTTTATGCTCTATAGTAAGATAAACTGCAATTTAAAGAACTATTACTTTCCACCCTCTTGGCTCTAGGCTGTTTCCTTTAAATCCTCTGAAAGGTGCTGGGTTGTTTCCCTTTGGAAAGAAGTTGTGTTTTAGAAACCTGTTTTGTTGACTTTTAGACCCCTCTCACTAAATTTAAACATTGCAGGCCAATTTACGCAGTCGTGAGTATATCAAGGAGAGGTTTAGCTAGCCACCGATGAGCTCCCGAAAAGCACATCCTATCAACGGCTCATACTGAGCAGTGGGGGCATCACTTGCTAGTAATAGTTTCTGAGTGGATATCTGTGAGATGCACAGAAAGCAAATTGGCTTTTTGTTCTTGGTTCCGAAGAGCGAACTTTGAGCCCAGTGCCTCAAGGCATGATGGAATTGATCATGGCCATGTGGTAAAGCCAAGAAGGATTTGGAAAATGGATGCTCAGTGGAGCTTCCAGGTTGGAGTGGAGCAGAGTGCATCCCCTGGGAGTGACGGTGTTCCATGCTGGGATTATCCCCTCACCCCTATTTATGTATTTTAATCTAGATGTCTCTTTGCATCCTTTCTGGTTAAAACATGTCAGTATGGTAGATTAACCTTGTGAACTTGGTGAGACTGGGTCCTTTTAAATGCTGTGCTCTGACCTAGCCCATGGTGACGAGGGATAGGATGCGAGACAGAACTAGCTGATGAGAGTGGAAAATTTAGAATTTGTAACCAATACTCCCAACCCAGCACAGAGATGAGATAATTTTACTTGGATACAAGGATCAAGAAGTGGGAAGGTGAGGACTGTATCCAATTCCAAGTGGAAATTGGATTCATGCTGATCCTTACAACACAATTAGCAACGAGATGGGCCTTTCCCAACATATCCTTTCCCATGCACCGTTGATGCAGTTGAAAGTAATATCCTCTAACAAGGAATGAATTTCAGGGACTGTCGGAAGAGAGGGAAGGAGGCAGGAAAAAAGAGAAGGCAGACTCTAAGGGATACACAGTAACATACATAAACACATAAATACCTCCTGCATAATCACCCCAGAAGGGGACTGAACCATAGTTCGCTTGATTGGAATGTTCAGTAGGGTTTCCAGTCCTGATGTGTATGATGCAAGCTGGAGCTCATAATCCTGGAAATTATACGAGTTCAAGAAAAACATTCTTGTTAGATTTAAAAGGAGTCGCTGACAGCTACAATTCCGCACTTAGAAAATAAGCAAGCTGGGTTTCTGATGACCAACCTCAAGGTTTTCCCATTAACTGTTAGTGTCAAAGTAGCTTAACGTATGTTTACTGGGTTGAAAGAAAATAGACTCTCCACTACCTCAGATATTACCAATGGGTAATGAATGTATGGAAATTACTGGGTAAACTTTTATCATTTGATCAGGAGAAAACATGGAAAACCCATAATTACTAGTCTCAAGGAGGTGATAAGATTCAGAGTGAAATCAGTCAAGACGTAGCTACTACCTGTCTTGATAAAATGACAATGGCTTTTGAAACCAACCTACCTTAATTGAATTCGCACAGAGTTCAGCAATTTTGTGTACCTCTTCTGATTTGTCCCGTTTGCCACATATTTCATTGTGCAAGTTCTACACAGACATGAAATAGACACAAATGTTGGCATTTGAGTATTGTAAAATGAACACCATTTCACTTTTAAACCATGCTTGTTTTCTTCTGTTTATGACTGCCTAGGCTGACATCATGATTTTGCAGTTAAACAGTAACTAAAAACATTAAGCTTTTTTTTTCATTCAGAAAAGATAAAAAAGACCTTCAACTTCTTATTATCGAGCTAACTTTCATTGTAAAGATACTTTACAATAGCACGAGAGGAACAACATTGCATTGTTTCTAAGTTCGTAATGCGAATCTTTGGAAATAACACAATTGTTCTTCCTCTGAGCATTCTTTAAGCATTTATAAGATGTACTAATAATATTAAGTAATTATTTCCACCCATTACTTCCTCTTTGAAAGCCAGAGGAAAACATCATATACACCAAATTAGTCTCAAAACAGCTATGTACCTTCTGCTCATTCAAAAATCTCATGACAGTGTTAGAATCACTGAATTTCATGGATTCTAAGGAATCCTGGCGACGTTTGGCATCATAGAGCCACTTGCAGAAAGCCTGGTAGTTGTCGCGGTAGTTCCTCAGTTGTTTGATTTGTTTCTCCAGGTCCCATAATCTAGGGAAAAGGAGATATGATAAAAGAACAAGACTAGGAGACACGGTTATTACTCCTCAAGATCTATTAACATAGAAGAAATATATGACCCAGCAAGTCCCTTGCTGGTTATGTCCCCAAGAAAACCCAAGCATTCATCCACACAAATCCTGTACACAGATGTTCATAGTGGTGTGTCTCTTGAGAGTCAAAAAGGGGAAACAACTCCAATGTCCATCAGCAGATAAAAGATATCATAAAATGTGATCTCTCTACAAAAGGAGTATTCCTCAAATATCAAAGGGAAAGGTATGCATGCGTGCTAAACACGAATCAACATGACTCTATGTGAAAGAGGCCAGGCACAAAAGACCACATAGTATGATTCTGTTTACATGAATTGTTCAGAATCGGTAAATCCAGAGAGGCAGAAAGTAGATTAGTGGTTGTCTGAGGCTGGGGGTGGGTGGGGTCGGGGTGGGGGTGGGGTAAGATCATGAGCAGTGACTGGAATGGGTACAGAATTTATTTGGGGGAGACAAAAATGTTCTAAAATATACTGTGTTCTAAATATTAGCTAAAATATATGGTGGTGATGTTTTCACAGTTCTGCAGCTATAGTAAAAACCACTGAATTATATGCATCACCTGGGAAAATGGCATGCTATGAGACTTACAGCTCAGTAAAGTGACCTTCTAAAATGGACTATTAATAAAATGGACTACAACTGAGGCAATTTGGGAGAATTTCCAAAGCTCTCATTTGCTGTAAGGCATTTCTTTTTCAATAAAATGTAATCTTCATGAACTTTGGACCACACTCACTCATGGCATCTCTTCTTCCACACAACAGTTAGCATGGTACATAAAGCACACCAGGTGACTTGCGCTGTTTCTCTATGAATCAGGATGGCACTGGCACATGTGGGTTCAGATGTGGCTACTGTGATGCACTCTCTTTCCATATCAATAACTTTTATTATACTTGGTCCCTGAAAGGAGTGTCCATTATGCCCACCAGTAAAACTACTTGTTCAGCTGCTAAATTCACTCCAACCCATAGCAACCACAGGTGTGTTAGGAGTAAAAGTTGATCACCCGGCCCTGCTTCTGAGAGGCCTCTGAGTGGACTCAAACTGCCAACCCGAGCACATTAGCAGCTGGGCATGTTAGCTGTTGCCTAGGGACTCTTTATTATGCCTAACTCATACATAAACCAAACCACTCCAAGTACCATTACCTTGGGAACAGCCAATGGATAACAAGAGATGAGAGGAGGTTGGCTCACCTGTAATCTATCTGTTTATCGATTCTTTGCCAGCGATCAGTCAGCTGTGTGACTTTTTCACTAAACTTCCCGAGATCCAAATCATAGAGTGGGTACTGCTGGGAAGTTTGGGAGTGGATCTGCTGGGCTTTCTGCAGTTCTGTCTTCATGGTGGCCAAGAGGGACTTCTTCAGGTTCAGGTCATTTTTTATTTTCTGCAAGAGAAGTTCAGTCAGCACAGAGTAATCTAATCTTTTCGCTCATCTTACGTGAGTCCCTGAAAAAAAAGTTCGGGACACTCTTGGAATATCTTTATTTTTAGGTGATAACAATCACTCCAGGTACTTTTTTTATTAATTACATTTTCCAATATTTGCCTCCCTGATGCAGCCTCTTACGCTACCCTTTGTAAAAGGGACTCGGGGTGTCAATCTGGAAAAGGTATCACCTTCCTCTCTCGAATAAATACAAGAGAGATGAACACATGAAAGGTTTTGGGAAATCCTAGGGTATGAAAACCAATTTATGCATTCTCAAGCCCAATCTCACTAAGGGGACTCTTTTTCATAGTTCTTGCTCTGGGAAGAATGAGCAATACCAATCGTATGTGGCCATTCAGAGCCAAGATCCCTCTACGTTCATGAAGATCCAAGGAGATTGTCTTCTGGGGTATTGAAGCCTCTTGTATTTCTTGTCAATCGGGACACTGTTAGGTAACCTTTCTAGTTACCTTGAGACCACAGCGGTAGGCTTCCACTTTATCCAGGTCCAGGCAGACGGTTTCCTCTTCTGTGAGTCTGGCTTCGTACACCTTCAGCATGTCCTCTGCCTGGAGGAGAGCCTGCAGGAGTGCTCTCACAGTGCATAAGCTAAAAGAGCAAAGGAAGTGAAACTGCTGGTAACAGACTTAGGTCATGAACAAGTAATGGTCTGGAAGAACAGGAAAACACAGTTGTTTGGTCAACTTACAAGCTAACAGAGTGGTCATTTCTTTTTTTTTTTCCTATCATGATTCAAACCACCTTCACTTAAAAATTCTAAATTCTATCCTTGAACGTATAACCCTCTTCTAAGATGCATGCGTTTTCAAATGGTGGGGTAAATACCTTAAGCTAGAGGACACTGTCAAACTAAAGAAAGATGTAAGTGAGCCTCCAGGAAGAAGAGAAATGAAACCAAGGGTTGGATTCAACTAAGCATCTGAAGCCAGTTAAATTGGAGAAACTGCGGAGTGACAAAAGCAAATGATCTCATTCGCATTCATTGTGCTTACCTATTTAAGTAGCCATCGGTCACACCATTGATATTTTCCAGTTTCTGAAATAGTCCAAACACTTCATTCTGTAAGTAGCAAAATTTTTCAGAACCTCTGAAGTTAGCTAGCCTATCTTTAAGCTGGTTGAGAACTTCAGCAATTGCTTGTGAGTCGTGCTGCACGCCCTGTCAGAAAAAAAGGGCAAGTTTTACTGATTTATGCAGTACGATTCTTTATCACCATGTTGCCTTTAAAAATCCCAGTATTGAAAATAGGGACTTGTCAACCGGTTTCATTGCCGCATTAATCACAATAGCGAAGAGGTGGTAGCAACCCAAGCATCTGCCCACAGATAAATGGGTAAACAAAATATGTTACAGATCCATACATTGCAAGATTGCTGTTGTTGTTAGGGGCCATCGAATCGATTCCAGCCTATAGCAACACTATGGACAACAGAGGACCACTAAGTCCTGTGCCATCGTCGCACCTGTTCTTATGTTTGGGACCATGGTTGCAGCCGCTGTGTCCATCCATCTCATTGAGGCCTGAAATAGTTTATTGTGCCAGCCTGGCCGATAAACACAAGTGGGATTAACTGAAGGGCAGAGAGATAAATGCCTTGGTAAGTCTCACCTTTCTTGTCTCTCACTCTTTGATCATCGGACCAGTGTGCGGCTGCCTTGCTTGTCCTGTGCCTCAATTTAAAGGCTACACTACCTGTGGGACCTCTAGCCTATGGACTGTGTCGCTGTAAGTTGAGGTCCCTTTAAGACATCGCTGGAGCTGGGGACTGGCAGTTGGTGACCTGGCTGGCAGTGGGTGACCTGCCTTCTGATTGGCTGCTGTGCTGACATAGCCTAGCTCTCTCTATAAATAGAGGAAGATCTGGCAGCAGATCGGACTGGAAGTACTGCTAGTCTCTCACATCTCTCTCACGGCAGTGAGTTGGATTGAGCCATTTGTAGTGTTTTATAATTTAACTGTTTCTTTCTTGTATTATATATTTAACTGTATATGATTTAACAGTTCATTCCTTGTTACATATCTACTTATCTTTATAAATAAATATATTAAATTATCAGCAATTTGGTTTTATCTCTCTAGAGAACCCTGTCTAACACAAGGCCCTTCCTCTAGTTCACCGCCCCTCCACTTGACCAGACACGATGTTCTTCTCCACGAACTGGTCTCTCCTGGATAACATGTTCAAAGGATTTGAGCCGAAGTCTCAACACCCTTGCTTCGAAGGAGCATTCTAGTTCTATGGTGACGTAGTGGTTATACATTGGACTGCTAACCACAAAGTTAGCAGTTTGAAACCACCAGCCATTCCATAGGTGAAAGATGAGGCTTTCTACGTCCCCCAAAGAGTTACAGTCTCAGAAACTCCCAGGGGTGGTTCTAGCTCATCAGATAGGGTCTCATAGGAGCCCTATGCATCTGAATCCACTCAGTGTCAGGGAGCAGGACAGCACTGGGTCACAAAGAAAAATAAAGTGTCGCTACATGCTAGGGTATGGCTGAACCCTGAACACGTGCCAAGTGAAAGAAGCCAAATAGAGAAGAACAAAAACTATGTACGATCCGACTTCTACTACAGAGCTAGAATCCAAGGAAGCGTGCCAGTGCAGTGTTCGAAGCCACGGCAGAAAGATGAGGCAGTCTGGCTTTGGAAAGCTGCCAGCCTTGGAAACGTGAGGCAGTTCTACTCCATCGGTAGGGTTGCTCTGAGTCAGAAGGGACGCGACCGCAGCAAGGCGTGGGTTAGGAAGCAAAGATAACAGTACAGAAATAAAACAAGTGGTTACCTAGCACGGGGAGTGGAGGGACTGGGGAGTTATGGAAGGCATACACAGTTCTGTTTGGGGTAATGGGAAAAATTTGGGAAATAGATGGTTGCACAGCACTGTGACTATAATTAAGGCCACAGCAATGCACATGCTAAAATGCCAATTTTCAGGTGTCTGCTTTATCACAATTAGCAAAGTCAATGAAAAGAACTCCACAAAGAGACGGTGCCCTTTCTTTTCCTTCTCCAGGTAGGCTTTCTTAGTGACTGTGCAAGCATGACCCTTTCCTGCAGTATGTATGTACGTCGTGGGCATTCTAATTCCATGCCCAGGGCAGGTGGAGCAGAAAAGATCCCCGAGTTACAAGTTGAACAGTTTGGCCCGTAGTCACGATTCTTCAATGGCTGTGAGATTTTACCCTATCGTATCTCACCATGTCAACTTCTTGTGTACCCGTATCACAGACGTGTTCCGGACAGATGGCAAAACAAAAACGCTGTAGCTCGACTCTCCCACCCACCAACCAGCAACAAAGGGGATTTAATACACAGTCTGCTAACCCCCCATGAATCTGGAAGTACAAAAAGGCTTCAAAACATTAGTGGGAACATCTGTTATCTTGACATCCCGTTTTTCCCCCCACAAACTTTTGATGCTCCCTCAAAGCTGAGAGTTACAAAAAAAAAGAGGAAATTTCTTTAAAATTAAAGTTTTGCCCTTGGATATTTAGACCAGGAAGTCAAAGATCAGTTCACAGATAACCACAGGTCCACCTTGAGTCTGGCAAAATACCCGGCACTACCCACCTTCAGTTCATTTATTTTCACCGTGATGTGGTGTGAAGACCCTTGGTCGGCCAGGAGGGTGTTTTTCAGCCACATCCGGCCCTCACAATGCTCCATCTGCTGGCGGATCTTCTGCAGCTCCATCAGGATCCACGTCTCCTGCTTGTCAGTCTCTCGGTTGATTTCGATCACATTCTTATGGTTGGCGTCTTGGCAGGAACCCAGATGAGTGATTTCAGTTGTTGTTACTGTAAACAGATGTCATGGTCACACAAGTCAGAGCTGTATGTGGGCAAGGCCCCGCAAAACAGGCACACTGCATACAAATCGGTCGACATCAAGTTAAGTCAATCCCAAAACGAAATAGATTGCATAATCCCATGCCTATGAAACAGAATAGACAAATGTATAGAGACCAAAGTAAGGGGAAGGGGCGGCCATTGTTTAGGAAGTGCTGAATTCCTACTTGTGGTGATGAAAAATTAGGCAACAGAGAGTGGTAATGAGGTTTCATGTGATTAATGTCCCAAACGGCACGTGTAGCAAAATGTTAAACTGGAAAATGCTTTCTTCTATGTTGGTCTTTCAACAGGAAAAACTATGCCACTCCATTTGATCTCATTCTGAAATTTTAGTATGTCAGTAACTTGTGATCTATTTCCTTAAAAAAAAAAAAACGGCTGTAGAAAGAGCTTTATACAAGTACTTTAAAAACTACAGACGCCAAGAGGAAAGTGCCAGAGCCCACCTGTCTGGTGGTGGGGGTGACCGGGCAGCTGGATGACCAAGGTCTGGTAGTGCTTCTGAGCATCTGTGAACTGAGTCTGGATGTTTCTCTTGTCATCATCCCCGAACATCTCTGAGCCTTGGCTGTTTCGGATGAACTCTTGGTAATGTAACTCAAGGTCAGAGATGGTTTTCATGTAATCCTCCTGGCGCATCGTTTTCAGCTGAAAAGTGAATTGGACAAACGTGATTTATGACTGCCCCACGGTTATTCCAAGAAGCGGCTGCTCAAAAATGCCCCACCCTTCCAGAGGAGACTTGAGCCAGCTTTGGGGATGTGTCGAAGAAGACACAAAAGCCTTTCAGGTAGGAGACTCTGAGCTTCTGTGACAGGTGACAGAAAATCAGGAAAGCTTACGGTTGACACCTGGAACCATGAAGAACCTGAAGTCACGACATTAAGGTCACTGGGATCATGGTTGAAATGGCAAGTGTTTTGTCTATAAATTTACTCCTTGTTTTAAGTCTGTTAGGGTTCAGCTTCTTACTTTCTTTTTATAATTGGTCCTAAGAACCATAGCAGCGTCGGTTAGTAATTTGATTTTCTACCGAACTACCTTCAAAAGGAGCATTTACTCCAAAGCCACAGGTGTAAAGCAGAGCACAGCACCACTGCTCTGACCAGGAAGGGCTTTCTAAAGCCTTCTCCTTCTGTGCCTGTCCTGCACTTCCATTCTTGCCCTCTGAAATATGCCCCCATCTGGGAGTCCTCAGATCGCAATGTGAAAATTGCTGATTCCAGGTGACCAATGCTGTGGGTATTCCTCTAAGCAGTCCACCCCAACTGATATTCATTAGATCCTTTACAACCTACTATTACATCCCACGCCATTTCCGTATGTACTTTCAATTTGTCAGGCCACTTTAATGAGTGTGTCAGCTTGTCATTCCTCCCCTTCTACACTAGGGGGAGCAGCGCCTCTAAGGAAGCGGGTGATGACTTACTGATGAAACAGAAGCTTGCGAGCCGCTGGAGGACCGGCCTGTTAGAAACTGCCACTGAGGGAGCACTTAGGCACCCCTCCCCCTCCCAGCAGCCTGGGGGTCAGCAGGACTTACCTTGGCGATGGTCATAGCCCTGATTTTCTCGATGTCAATCATGCAGTAGTGCCAGGACACCAGGCTCTTCATGTTGATGTAGAGCTGGTTCCATAGGGCCAAGATGGCTTCGTAGTACTGCTCAATCCTGGGAGGAGCAAAGCAAAGGCAATGGCTACTAGACAGGCAAGCACCACACAATCGTAACTAACACAGCAGTCACAGGCGCGCCTTCAATTTTCCAAACATTCAGTATTCCAATGGATGTTAGATTAGTTCTCTCTCTCGAAGCACATTCCCAATGGTCTACATTTAGTGTAGATCACAGATTCCCAAATGTATTTGGCCTACCACCCCTTTTTCTGAAACAAACCCAACCAAAAACAGAACAAAACCAAAAAAACATTATTCAGCCCCCTCTTGGCAATGGAAAAACCTTAGTATGACAGCCTATAACTCAGGATAAAGTATAGATATCTGCTTTTGCTCCCCACCCCCACCCCCACTCCACTCCTAACACACACACATTCCAGATTGTTTGGGGGTTGGTATAATCTGCTTTGGGAAACACTGGCATAGACCGTTCAAATCATTTCAGTGATAATATACAGTATGCTTCTTTACGGCGGCGATTTTGCTTGCCAGCAGCATTTTAATTGGCAATGGTCAATCTCCGTAGATGGATGCTGCTGGCTGAAGCTTGCTAAGGAGTACATAGAGAATCACCATGTTATTCTCCGGACTCCTGTACATGGTTGAACAGGTCCCCAGTAAAAGAAGATGCACAGGCAACTGTTAAAATGGATGCTCCATCTACTGACAAGCAAATATCTACAGGGAAGCCATGTATCTGCGACTAAATGCAAAGTTATTGATTTTCTAGGAAGAAAAAATGTCAAAGAAATACATTCGAAACAAATGGGTATTATTCAGCCCTTTTGTAATCATCCAGTACTAACTATAATATCTCCAACTTAAAATTGAAGGACAAAGTAGGTGCCTGTCGCCAGGTTCCTTTTAGGGAGGTGCATGTTGGGCTGACTGAGACCCGGGGCCACTCCAGTACGGAAGCTGACCTTGCTCAGTCTCTTATCTGGGGGAGCAAAGCATTATTCCCACCAGCACCTGCCATGGCTTTCTTGGCAACCTGAGACCTTGGTTCAACAGTGACTAAGATAAGGTACAGTTTGTCTACGTCTCGTATAGATGCATTTGCCCTTTTGATCGTCCCCCCATTCATGCCACAGCTACTGGGATCTTTGACAACTTACTTGCAAGAAAGATCGACGGCCAGTGGGTTTGGAGGCGGGATAATCAGGCCCACAGAAGGAACCAGCATGTCGACGCCTCCCGGGCCTGTCACGTACCACTTGCTGCGCTCATTGTTGTCCTTTAAGATGCACTCGTCCCCTTTGTGCACGATTTTCTGCAAGGCAAGGTGCACCCGACGGGGCTTTAAGTGTATGTGGACCTTCATATTCAGACAGAAGCAAATGTGAAAGCTATCTGAGACGGGAGAGAAATGGCCTTTTTTTTTCTCAAATGGTGCTGATTCGCACACTACTCAAGGATGCTGAAGTGCCTTCCTTTTCAAACATACATGGGAGCCTAGAAGCGGAGCATAAAGTAAAGGAAATCTCCAGGGAATCGGGTCGCATGTTTCGAAGGAAGCCTGGAAAATCCATTAGTAAAGTGAGAAGCCCTTTTGTAAAGCAAAACCCACCCCCAAAGTGTTTCTATTCTGTGAGTTCATGTTTTATATATTAGATTCAATGGCCTGGGGTCACTTGTCTGATTGCTTTGCTCTTAAAATTCTTAAGCCCCAAGCTTGAAAAGACGGGCTCAATTACCATGCAAGTTTTGCCACCCTCCTTTAGGATTCCACTTTTCACATGTTTTATAGCAGAAATGTAAAGATGTGAAAGGCAATTAACTTTTTGATATTACAAGAAGCCCTGTATGAACTAAAAAAAAAGTTGCACATAGAAGAAAGACATAGTTAAGCCTTAAAAAATAATGTGAGTTGGTTTTACAAATACTATTGTCTTTAACTATCGACAGCTAAATATGCAATACTCCGTGATGCGGCAGCATTTTATTTGTTCAACACATTTCTTTTTTTTTAATCATTTTATCGGGGGGCTCTTCCAAATCTTATAACCATCCATTATTCCGTAATATTAAACACACTTGTACATATGTTGCCATCAATCTTTCCAAAACATTTTCTTTCTACTTGAGCCCTTGGTCAATACATTTCTTTGTACATAAAAGAAAAACAAAAATAAAACCATTTACTATGGTGCTTACTGAAACCTAGATTATATTTGGCTCTCTGATTGCCAGTACTCCTGATGTGCAAAAAGGAAACTTGACTGGGTCATGCTGAGGCACCGAGTGCATACCTGGTCTTGTTTGTAGTCACAAAGAGCCCTGAGGATGATGGGCTTGTTGCTTCTGTAGTCTGGGTTCCGAGGTTTCAGCTGGACGATCTTCTTGGACTTGTTCACCAAGTTCTGCACCTGACGCTTATACTCCAGGATTTTTTCCCGTTCTTTCTGCAATGGCAAATTAAGATTGCCTTTTAACATAGTCACCCTTTAGATTTTA